TGCTCAGGTCGTGTGAGGGGGCTGTTGGCTGACTACTGGGTGTGGGGAGAGTACACTTAAGGCACTTAGAAGGCCGTGTCTTGCTAAAGCCCCAAACCTTGTGCCCATCATTTCTCCGAACCAACGCCTAAGTTCCTAAATATATCTGTGTGACATCAGTGTGCCACGATGTAGCATTGTATGAAAACCCATGTTTTGTTCAAATGTTCAGGAATCATCAACTTTGAACTAGACCTTTGAAACCCAACTCCGAAATCAACCTGCGCCTCAAACGCTTCTGATTCCATGAACTCGTCAAGCCACTGGTGCTCGCCCCATGGGTGCGCCACGAGTCGTGCCGCGCACCGCTATATGAATTCGTCGTGACCTCTCGCGCTCAAACACTGGGGAAGCCCCGCGAGTAGCCCTCAGGGTCAAGGAGACGGCGCTTCTCCTCGAGATGTCAAGCGGAGATAGGACCCTCATCCTCGGAGTTTGCATAGTTTACGTCGACAGGACCCGGGGATGATGGACCACACCGTACCGATACAAAAAATAAACGGGAATGATGCGAATCTGTAGCACAAACAATCTGTGGGACCTGGGATCTGCAGAAAGCTGTAGGATACACATGGACACCCCTCAACCCCCACCAAGTAGAAATACAATAGAAAACATGACCAAACACATGGACACCGGTTCCGGGATCCTATTTTGGATGTAGGATCTCTTCTTGTCCCTATACTCAACGATGATCAACGATGATCATGGTTGCATGATTCACAGTCGTGAATAGGAGCCTCCGCCAAACAGTCGAATTTAATACCAATATTCTATCGCTTTGAAGCCATCAGCAGAATACGTCATACACTCCGAGGCACATTCCAGAGAAGTGGAAAACCACCTGTTGTAATTGAACATGGTCATCCAAGAGGCCATTGTCCATCTCCATGATTATTTCAGGGAGTCTATATGTTCTGTTATTTATGATCCATAAATCCAAAAGGCTTGCTGTAGCTGGTGGAGTCAAGTGTTGCCTTGTGCTTGTGTTTCACTTGTTGTCGTACTATCACGGAGCATGAGGAACATGAACAGTTTCTCCAAAAAAAGAAACGCGCAGGCGAAGACACACATACGAAGCATTCCAATTCTAGATATTCTAGCAATCTCTAGAATACCGAGTAAAGAAAAAAACACAATAAACCTGTTGTCCATTGTTGTCCCGTGGGCTTTTCGAAGGCCCACGGTGAGTCGTATTCACCGCGCCTGGTAAGACATGGCGAAAACGCGCCACGATGCGACACGGGGGAGTCTGCAGGTGTTGAAACTGCGACAGATGCTGCTGGTAGGGACGGTTCACAGATCTTCTCAGATCCTATCAGAAGCCTCACATTGACATATACTCTTTCTTACCCTCTCATGGTGGTTGGACCAAAATTAGAAATTCATTGTGCTCGACCAAGTAGACAGCACCTGTAAATAATGACAGTTGAGCTACATTCAGCTACATATTAGCGACATTGCAGGCTGTTTGGGTCAATTGCTGACATAGGTTATACATGCTATACTGTTACTCTTTAGTTCATAGGCTACTTGTTACAATTGCCAAAGTCTAATAATATATAGAGAGTCTATACACTGTGACCAACGGCTTGTTCGCTGATTCCAACCGCGAGCTCACAGCTTAATCCCCGCGCGTTGCGCAGGTGGTTTTGAGCAGAAATGGCAGGTGGTAGGAGTTGGCTCGTGAACCAAGAGCCTGCACATGTCTACTTTCGCCTTGAGCCTTCCTTTGGGCCTGGCCCATCCGGGAGCACACGTTCTCGCGTTCTCCTCGGGCAGCAGTCCAAAGGGCAAAGGAAAAAACTCACGAAGGTGCATTCTTCGGTAGCGAGATCAATGTCCGGGTCAAGCATGTTGGTGTGGGTCAAGACTAAACAGTTCTCTTAATGGTCTTGGGTCATGTCTTGGATGGCTCGTTCCTACCCGCGGCAAACTCCTGCACCAGTTCATAGTAGGGGACTCATCCACTTCATCCAATGTCAATTCGTTGCAAAGTTCCCACCGAAATCGGGATACCTGTGTCCGCAGCATCGGGATCCAAGAAGACCTGGTCGCAGGAACCCCGCAAGATTCACCAAGCAAGTGCCTTCGGAACTCCCTGCAGAACTGAACTGCTTCCCATTTCAACCACCAGTGGAGTGGTGAGCTCCTCCCTGTCTGCCCAGGGACGACTCTCCGTGTCGTTAGCCGCTGCACATCGCATCCCACCCCGACCGGAGCGAAAGAAAACGGCGCCCGGAAACGTCGTTCGGTGCCCGGGCCGCGAACGGCGCAGCTTCCTTCGATGTCCACGTTGGAGTCAGACTTCAATGAGAAATGGTAGCTAAGATGTCTGCGTTTAGCAGCCGGTTTGAGCATCATCTAGATGCAAGTGTCAAGCACCTGGGCAGCACTTCAGGCTGTCAGGCGCCTAACCTGTGAGATCCTTTACACAATCAGTGCGGTTCCCACGCGACAGGGCTGAGTCACACACAGGTGCCGCACCTGTAGGATGACATGGGATATTCTCCATGCAGTTGGGACGTTCAGGCACATCTCGCCATCCATGTCGGTGTTTTCATGATTGGGTCGGACAAAAGCCGTCGGCATGCATTGGCCTGAAACCGTTTTCGCAGGATCCAGCTTGCAGGCCTGAAAAAGGGGTTCCATGTGGAAGTCCGTCAGTGCAACTCCCTTTAACCAAACCAAACTAGTGCTTCCAGCCCACTTTCGAGCAGCATCCAAAAAGGATACTGCCTCAATTGGATCAAAACCCCAAACCAACCTGAAGCTTAAAGCCCGAGGGTGTAAGAGTATAGATGCTGTCATCTTCATGATTTTGCAGACTGCATGTATTTACCTATTGTTTTCCATGTTTCGGCAGATCATCATCGATCTGTTCCCGGTTCGGCCCGTTCATGCCAACAGTGAGCGCATGTTTTTCTTTGCAAAAAAAAAGATAAACCGGTGCACCGATCTCATGGAGAGCGGCTGGAGCTGGAGCTGAAGAAAAGGCCTGAACATCTCCGGGTCAAAAGCGAAAGAAGATTCTGGCACTCTTGTGGATGCCAGGTCGCTTGCTTGGGGTCGCCCCTCGCTTGGGAGGTGTTTCGCCCAACAAACGATCCTCTGAAGGCCGCTTTTGGAATGGGGGTTCCCAATCAAGGGAAGCTTCTTCTGTTTCTTCTGTCTTGCAGCCAAACTGATGAGTTGATCAGGGCAAACCAGCTGGGGCGCATGCTCTAAGCAATATGTAATATATAGTCATATATAGTTAATTGTAACTTATAAAAAGAAAGGTCTCAGAAGCTGATATCTTTACGAACGAAGCCCCACTGGTAAATCCCAAGAAGCTCAGAAAAAAAAAAAGACCGATGGAATACGCGACTCAAGTGGGATTGGCCAGTTCTATTCTATTCCGAATGGTTCAAAAAAGATACAGTAACTGTTGCGCGAATCTTCAAGTGCTGCTCATCAGCAAAGCAGAAACGGCTCATCATAGCTCAGCATGACCATGGCTGCCGTCTCACAAAGACGACTTGGAGTGTTTTTGGATGCCCCCCTCCATTGGTCCCCCCATCCTGGATGGCCTCCGATGACTTCGAATGGACTGCGTCGGCGAATTAGAATGCACTGGCCGGCCTTCCCGCCTTTCAGGCAAACCCTGAGCAATTCAAACTGAACCAATTCTTTCTTCAAGTGGTGGTCAAGCGCGTTTGGAATGAGATGTGCAAGGAAGCGATGGAGCGATGGAGCGTGATATCATGCTTCGACTTTCACCGGAAGCATGACGAAGAGGCGTGTCACTGCACAACTAGCTGAAAAATTGCAACGAGAACTCAATAGATCCTCACATTGTGTCTTCTTCTTGGATCTATTGAGTCTGGGGGTCGATTGACACTTGAGTCTGTGTGAGGAACGCACCGGACGTTGCTCCACCCCCCTTTCATCCAAACCTGCGGCTTGACATGGTTGGTAGCTGTGGTTCATAGCTGGACGATCTCAGATCGATCTCAGATCAGAGCGGCTGGGTGTGAATGACATGCGGCGAATGAATGAGGCAGGCCGCTGAAATGGATTAGTAAATTATATAGTATCCAAACCTGTTCAACCAGAAGATTTGAGGGCAGGATCTATGGATCAGAACTGATCTTCCACTTTCTTGGACGGCGCCAGAAGGCCAGGCGATGTGCCCCCAAAAATTCGATGGGATGGCCAATGCATAGGTCCGGTCATGGAAACCTCCATTGAGTTCTCAACCAAACTCTTTAGATTCTGTAAGATCTTGTGAGGGTAAGTCATTGGGTAAGTCTTCTTTGCAACCTGGAGTTTCCAAAAATTGTCAAAAGCTCTGTAACAAAAAGAGTCTGTTTGTATAGATAAAAAGACAAACGCGTCCTCTCTCTGATCTTGGAGGATGTCTGACTTGCGATCCGGGCCTGGAATTTGATTTATTGGCCAGTTGGATTGAGACGATGTTCCAGACGCAGTGGCCACTGCAGACTGCGGCCACTCTTCTGTGCTGGTCCAACAGGCAGGTACCCTCGGCGGAGCTACCACACAGCAAACCGGTATGTTGAAAAGCAAGTAGCTGACAACTGCTGAAGGGTTTGAGAAAGCGATTCTTGCATTCCAAATGATTTTGAGGGGGGCTGCAACAGGTTCTGTGTTTGTTTAGTTCTCGAAGACACTTATTATGACTTTTTTCCCATGCGGATGTGGAGTTCAATTGAAGCCTCAAATAAAGCCGTGGTAACCACTTCACTACAACCTACGCAGTTCGTTGCGGTTTTCACCCCCCTACAGCCGTAACCAAAATACTTGATTGAGTTGAACGGCTTGAGCAGTTTTCAACACAAATGTCCTACTCACAAACAAAACAACAAAATTAAGCAGGGACATGACAAAATAGTTCATGATTGGGAATCCAGTGCTTGCTCAACACGTGATTCACAGCATTTGGTTCCAACATCATCGTCGTCCCAAAAAGCATCTTAGTCTGAGTCTTCTCCTCATCTGGTGTGATGTCCGCCAGGTTTCTAAAACAAGGACGCTGTTTTTGGGACACGTCCTTGGACGCGTCCACGGAACGAGTCTGAGAAATCTGCACCGGTGCGCGCAGACGCACGTCCCACCTGGGCAATCAGTTCCGGAATGGGCGTCCTTGGATACACTGATCCACACGCCTTATAGTTCTTACAGGTCACTCACAAATGTGGACACCAGAAACCCATCCCTTCAAGGTTGACTCTCCAGCATCCCAACGCACCTTCTTTTTTTCATGGTGACAGCCGAAGCTGGTAAGGTAAGCGGGGTGGTACATCAAAATTGTTGGGCAGACCTGCATTTGCATACATGATGCCCCATTGGGCTATAGCAAGGCCTGACCCCCGATCGCCCACGTGCGACACCCACAGCTATAGCACCGGGCGGGTTGGGTGGGACAAATCACACACCGGAGTACCACAACTCCACCTTTCAGAAAACCACAACTGTTAAAAGACCCATGGGTCACTCCACCTACAAGACCCATGGGTCACTCAACTGTTAAAAGTCAAAACAAAGCATCAAGTAAGGTGAACATGTACGTGACCGGTCGCCAACCCTCCCCATTATCATTTAAAAAAAGAAAACTCTTGAGTTCCTCAACAGCCCCAATCTTTCCCAACGATTCTTTCGTCTTCTTTTCATGCACGTGTCTGAACCGGCCTGGCTCCTCTGGCTCCTCTACGACTTGGACACGTCTTTGACCATGTCCTGGCCACCGTTCAGAGTCGTTCCGTCCGGTCCAGGCCACCGAAGCCCGGAGACCGCCTCCGACATCGGATCGCACGTCGGATCGCAGAAAGGATCATGTGCGTGACGCCCATGATGAATCATGATAGTATGCTACTATAGTATATAATATATATATATATATTTATGATGTGAATCGATGTGATATGATGTGATTGTATATGGCAACACGTGATCACCCTGTAAAGCCATACCGGTCTGGTTTCCGGTTTCCCCCGATGGCACCGAAAAACTCCACATACCTAGCGCTTCCTGTCTGGGTGTCCAATGGTGACCTATAAGCAGTGTAGGGTTGTCCATTGGTAACCCGTTGGAAGCCGCTGGTTTCATGAAATCTTCCGAGATTGGAGAGATTGAACATGATTTTTCTTCGCATGACAGTGACACTGTCATCACCGAATCCAGGAGAAATTGGATTCGTCCGCCATCCACCGAACTCTGAACACATTTGCCATACGTCTCGGTCACATTGGGTGTGGACCACACGGAGTCTTAGCACAGCACACTCCCCGAGTCTATTCCGATGCAGAAGCCACTTGCAGACGTCCGAAGCCTCGATTCCTCGAAGCCCACGACCTGCACGGGCACAGCCTTTACAATCGCCTCCAAGACACCTCCACAAACAGAACCACAATCAAATAACATCCAATCACCCATTAGCAATCTATAGCAATCTGTTTTCGCACATCGACTGCACAGGCGCAGTCAACATGTTTGTTGGTTCCCTTTTCCCTGGTTGCCCCCTGGTGTTGGACCCCTCCAACCCTGAAGCCATGTCGAACCCCCCCGGGTCCGTCGCAAGGCCCAAGTCGCCAAAGGCTTTGCCGAAGGAAGGAGGTCCTCGAACCGCTGCCGACGGCTTCGACGGCGGTTGCAGCGGTCTTAGGGGACGGAGTTCTACACCCCAGATGAAGCAGGTTGGCAGGTTGGATGAAAGTAGATTGAAAGTGAATTCGGGGATTCTGCCGCTTGGATTCGGGCGACAGCAGGCCCAATAGGCCGGTGTCGCCCAAGCTCTCCGCACAAGATCTCTGGAGGTGACGTCGAAATCGTCCCATCTCTCCTGACCGTTCGGCCTTGCCGGCCTTCCGCCCCACACGCGGGAGCCTCAGGCAGGGGGGGCGGCACCAGCCAGGCTGCATCTTTCACGAAGCAGTTCGGTAATGGGAGATGGCAGTGGGTATCCTGCCCATAAGAAACATATAGTACAATAACACTGCCAATATATAGGGAATATCGAATAGATGGCATAATTTTACATTAACTAAGAAGGAATAAAGGGGGGTGTCCAAACCTCATGGGATCTCATGGGCCTGTACAGGGCCCCTGGGCCGGAGTGCCATGTTAGGAAGTAGACAGGAGTAGCTAGAATGAGGAAGTGTACAAAATGAGCCGGAGTGCCATCTTAGCAGAACAATGAAAGAGCGGAAGTGTAGAGCGGACCTTTTTTTTTCTGTTCCCCTGGTTCCCGCTCAAGTCTGTTCAAGTCTTTTCAAACGTCAAAAGGCCAGCTCCAGGCTGGCTGACAAAGACCTCCAAGCATTTCACGAATTCGGGTTCTGGAGCCATGACCAGCTCAAAGCGTCTTCAAATGATCTCTCCATGGATCCCTCCTCATCTGACCATTTGAAAACTTTGCTGTACACAAAGCCGACACCTGGCTGGGAGACAAAGACCTGAAAAGATCTGGTCGGTGTTCTCCTTTGAATCCGGCAGCCAGGTGCCAAGCCGATGCGATCCATCGCAGGCGTTGCCCACGCGCCAGGAGCTGAAGGAGCAACCGAACTGGAAGATGGAGCCGACTCAGGGTGAGGATTTTCCCACACAAGCTCCCATGAGTCTGAAACAGCATCTGCAAACTGTCCAACAGCCATCACAGCATCAAGATCCTCCTTGTCCATCAACACCTGCGCCTCTTCCAAGTCCTCCTGAAAGTGAATGCGATGTGCCATCTTTGAAGTGCTTAAAAAAGCGAATCTATTTGTTTGCAAGATATAATCATAGTTATATATGGATGATTGGAGCCGCTAAGATGGCACATGGGAAAGGAAACAGTCTCTAGCCTAGTAGCGACGGCATCCAACCCAATAGTGATGGATTCCAACCTAATAGTGCTGACCTCCAACCTGATAGCGATGGCAAGGTATGATAGAATATGGAACATCTCAATCCACTAAGATGGCACATCCTAGCCTAGTTCTGCCACCACCCGACCCGCCCTCCTGATCGCCATCTTCCTCACCATGAGGCTCATGAGGCTCCCCTTCAGGTGCAACGTGACCTTCTGCAAACGCCGCATCCTCGCTCTCAGCCTCAATGGAGTCAGCTTCATCGCTGCCCTCAGCCTCAGATTCGTAATCAAGAAGCCTGTCTTTCAGGAGGGACTGCAAGCTTTCTGGCTGCACAACTTCTCCTGCTTCTTCGTGTGTGACCCTGACGCATCTTACCTTCCTCCACGGCCCAACCTCAAGCTGAAGTTCCACTGTGCCTGGCTTGAAGTGGAGCAGCATAATGTTCTTGTTGGGTTTCTTGGCTGTCCTCTTGCCATCAGGTGCCATGTTTGTGCGGTCATTCAGCCATCTCTGAGTCACCAAAGACCCAAAAGTGACATGAAGGCCAAAGGAGACCACTGGACGAAGTTTGGATTGATCTTCTGCGTTGACATATCTGGCATATTCTTTGTCAAGGACATTGGACAGCGCAGTTGGGAGGAAAATCCATCCAGACTCGACTCCATGTGGTTGAGAAATTTGCCAAAAAAATCCTACTTCACCTGGAAGAGTGTGATCCAACAACATGTCGGCGCCACTAGCAAACTCAAAGTTCCTGAACCGTGGGTCCACTACAATATTGTCCCTTCTCTTCTGGGCATCCTGCAGGTCCTGCGTGTGCCGTCTTACAGGGTGTGGTGATGAGTGTAGCTAACAATTCGGGTGCAGGTGTGAATGTGGATATAAATATACCCTGTATAAACACACACACACACATATATATATATATAATTGTTTGTACTTGCCAACAAAAATCCACTGACCTGTCCTGAGATATCTGTTCAGCTGTGAGACCAGAAACTTCTGCCATCTCCTCCTGTGTGAGATACCCAGTCCGGATCCATGCCTCCATGAACAATGAGCGAGGTAATCGAAGCCATTCTTCTACAGAACATGCCACAACATCTTGGATATCGACGGTCCTCTTGGGAGCTCCTCAGTCACAAACAAGCAAGAGAAATGGGGGAAAGAATGGCACGCGTGACACCCTGATGCCCTAAGATGGCACACGAGCCATACACAACTAAAAACAAAAACAGTTAACAATAAGAAAGAATCTGCCCTTTACTATGGCAGTTGGGGAAAAACAAGTTCAAAATTCGAAGAGTGTCCGGTTGCAGCTAATGGCAGTGACTCGTATCCAGAATTTCTGAAGTAAGTGCCGCCAAAGCCAAGGGCCACATCCATTGCCAGCCGCACATTGGCCTTGTACAAGGCAAACACTTGATCAGCAGGTTGGCCTTTCGCTGACCACCCCCCCGGAAGCTCCGGGGGTAACACAACGTTGCTCGATTCTGCAAATCTATCGCGTCTCTCACTGAAGCCACTCGACTTGGAATGCGCTCCTGTGAACCCGTCACAGACCAGGAAGCCAGGTGTGCTGTGGCTCAACCCCAATTTCTGTCTTCTCAGTTTGAATGCCGGCTGGTACAAGGAGTTGTACATATCCAATATGGATTCGGAGTCCATCATGTGGCTAGAGCCCCTACTTTGCATCACGTATACCAGCCCAGTGTTTTGCAAATTGATCTCTTTCTTCAGCTTCTCTGAAATGCCACCTTGACAAACGCTGATAGCCATGGGACCTGGTGACCCATCGCCCCAGATGCTCCCGCAGAAAGTGAAGCATTTTCGAGCCTTAGGCAAAAAGTGAAACAGTATTATATACTTGCCAGACTCCCAAAAAGAACAAAGCCACGAACCTCTTCTGTGTGCGTTATTATAGGTTTTAAAAACTAGAGACCACAGCTGTACTACAGCCACTTCGGATGTCTCAAAAGATGGCATTTTCTCTAATGTCCTGTCTAGCTGCTTTGGAAATGGAATCCAAACGGAAATCTTCTGCAACTTTATTCTTCTTAGTCTGCTTGGACTGCTGGATGACCTTCTGTTTAATCTGCCGGAACTCTCTCAGAGCCTTTGTCGTCTTGGGTTTCCTGCATCCAGTGCCCGCATTGCACCTGTCTTTCCGAATGGCATTCTTTCTGACATGGTAGAAGGCTCGCCATGTTTGGTCAAAGTTCCTGTAGGCTGGGCTTGTCAATGGAAATTGGAAACCGATGTTCACACAGTGGAAAGAGGGCCATTCATTAGCAACTGCATCAAGTGCCCTCATGTGCCATCTATCTATATATATATATATTTGTACCACACAAATGGTCAAACAATGTCAGACAAGGCTCAACACCATCCCCCAAGGGATAGAATTCTGCTCCACAGTGTTTCTGATCGTGTGTCTCGCGTGTGCCATTCTTGGGTCATCGACGGACAGGAAGTTACCTGCGGTGTTTGTTTTGCACACCCTATTCTTGAAGAAGCCATTGAAGCGCTTGAAAGTCAAACTTGTAGCCTTCCAACTTTTGAAGCTTTTAGGTGGCTTGCGGACACGGGAGCGTAAGCGCTGCACTTCCCTTGCAATCTTCCCTTTGGAGATCTGTGGCTTTGGCTCACCATCGGCAGTGTCAGCTGCCACAGTTGCACTTTTGAAGTCCTCCCACGCTTTCTGGTTCTCCATGTTGATGTCTGCAATCAACTTCTCTGCACCCTTGTTGTACTCGCACATAGCCTCCTCTAAGGTACGCTCAAGGATTCTTCTTCCCTGGGCAGGGTCAGCCCTTTTGCTTGCTGCAGTCAACCCCACAGTGGATTGCACCTGCGCGCGGTCAACTAGTTCTGCAACCTTCCTGGGAACTCCAGCGACGGTGTCCCGCGCTTTGCGTGGAACATGGGACAAGCCTTGCTCATCAAGGTACCAATTTGGTACTGCACGCATTTTTGAGGCAACACAAGATGGCATTTGCCAGAGCTTCAGCTTGAAGTACTTCTGAATCCATTTTGAAAGCACGTTGGAGCGGAGGATGTCTGGGAACTTAGCACGAGCTTGATGCTGTTTGGGAACACCTGGTGGCAGCTGGAGAGCATACTCGACCACCTTGATCAGGTCAGATAGCAATGGGGAATCCCGCTCTTCACGCTTGTAAGTGTTCTTTTTCCTTCTCTTCTGGCTAGGTTCCACAGATTCCTGAGCAACTACTTGCTGATCCACCTCTGGTGTCTCCAGTGTGCCATCTTGGATGGCGGGCAGCGCAGGCAATGTCCCCCCAAACACCTGAGCAGCTACCTCCTCCCCATCGTCAGCCTTCACGATAGTGGCGATCTTGGAAATTGCCGACGCCATTCGCTTTCTTGATTTGGCCAACTTGTGAGGGTTCCCCAAGCCAAAAGGTTGGACTGGGTTGCGCAAAGCACTGTGCTGTAGATGAGAAGCATCTGCAATAGCCTGAATCAGAAGATATTTCAAGGCAGTACCATGAACTAACTAGCTGTATAACTATATATACATATACATATAGAGTCCTAGCATGCCCGAGAACCCCCAAAGATGGCACACCCCATCACAGATAGTTTCCGCACATGTCTGAGAACCCCCGCACAGGGTAAAAACAAATATATTGAATATACCCAGGCCACTGTGCTCAGCTTTGTCAATATTTGCCCAGCAAGCCCCAGAACAGCAGGGACATTTGCTGTTACAACAGAAGCATAGCCTGAACGCTCCAGAAAGTGTGAAATGTCCTCTGAGTCTGAATCTTTGGTCATATCATCCAAGAAGGACATAAATTCCTTGGCCGGCTCTTCAGATGTGATCTTGGGCAGCATATCAATAACCCTGAGCCGAGTTTTGCCACAGGATGTAGATGACCTGAAGGCACGCAAAGCATCTGCACATCGCTGCCACAGTTCGCTGGTAGCTTTCACTTCATTGAGTTGCCATCCTGGAAGGTGGGTCTTGAGGCAATGTTTGATAGAAGGCTCTCGTGATGCACACTTTTTGAG